TCATATATTAATTATTATTAAAATAAATACAATAAAAAAATAATTAGAACATGCACTTATTTAAAAATGTTCTTATAAAATATTTTTAAAAAACTTTATTATTATTTGAAATTACAAGGTTTCTAASATAARCTAGATCGTAATTTACTTAACGAAAATATTGATATTTAAAAAAATTGTAAAAAATCAGCCACTTGACTGAAATAAGTATTTTTACCATATAAATTTTTCTAAAAATCAGATTTGCAAATTGGCTATATTGAATATTTCGAAAAAAWTTTTTATCATTTTTTAAGTTTTTTATTTTCAGTATTAAAAAATAAAAAATAAAAAATGTATTCTAAAAATGTAGCGCAAGYGTCTATGAATTATATTTAAAAGAAATTTTTTTTAAATATTGATTGGAACAAAAGTTATTTTATTTGTCTGAATGTCATCTAGCTCTGTGGGACACCCTGTATTCTAATAAAATGTAATAATTAAAAWCCACTGAATATTAAAYATCGAAAAAAAAATTAAATCGAGCACTGATAAAAAAAAATTAATGATACTGTCAGGTGAATGTTTTTTGATAAAAATGTAAAAATTTGATGTGAATCTTCTATTAAACTTTTTTATGTAGGCTATAGAATTAAATTTCTTATTCAATTCTAACTGAAAAATAATTTACACATTTTTAGGATATGAATGAATTTTGTCAGTGCGAGCAAATKAATATCTATATATAATATATATATTATAAATAAATGTACATAATATGTTAATTAAATAAGCTAAAGTAAAATCATTAGGACTATAATGTCGTGTATTATATATTTACATAATATGTCAAGTATATGTACATATGTATATTCCTGTAGAAGAAACTACGAAAACATTTTTTTTTTTTTTACTTAACAAATACGCCTCAACTATACCGGGGTTATTGGCGTTTCAAAATTCATAAAATAGTTTACTTAATTTTTGAAAATTAATTAATTGTAAATAGGTGAAAAATTGGTACAATAAGTTTTAAGAGAAATATGTTTAGATTTTGTGTGATATTCTAAGTTGTCAATGGTGATTTGAGGTCTGAGTGGGAATGACATATCGTGAATCCAAGGGATGTGGGTGGAGGATTTAATTTCTCTTAATTTGTTATTTTGTATTAACCTCCATTCTCGAAGACATGTTTGATTGAGGTTAGCGTTTATTTGATGTTTTGTGTTGAAATGGGTTGTAATAGTCCAGAACTCAGTATTTCTTTGGTTGCTCTTATGGCTATTTCGTCTGCGATTTAATTACCTGATATACTGTTGTGTCCATAAAACATTTTTATTATTATAATAATTTGACATTTTCAAATAAATAATTAATATTTTTATTTTGTTGATTTATTCCACGATAATAGTTAAAATATTGAAATCTTGAGAACCTATTTCTTTTTGATAATGAATTGTTATTTAAATTTAACTAAGATGGACATCATAATAAATTAGATAATCGTGATATGTATACGAGTATGTAGGTATATATGTAATCATTTTGATCCATTTTGTACACCGCATTCTAGATCGAGTGGTTACAGGTTGAAATATTTGATATCGTAACAGCATTTATATTGAGATTAGTACATATATTATAGTGACCACCGTAATTTTCAATTAACAGAAATTACCTACTTTTGTTTCGATATGTATTGTTTAATTATATTGATAATTTTTCAGTGAAGTGAAAAAATCTTATATTATAATCKATGAAGTGTTAGAAGATATGAGACTGATGCAAGGGGCTTTGCCCTCTATGTCTATGTTGACATGTGCATCAAAATTACTTTGTCCTTATATAGTTAACTAATTACCTCCGAGCGCCCATGATATAAGTTTTCAAATACATAAATCATCGTTAAAAAAAGCTAATCTATCAATTGTATACTGTATTATATATAGTCAGTTATTTTAGTTCTAGACCTTGATGGTTCGATCTGGCTTTAAAAYTATAATATTATAATAAATTTAAAATTAAACAATAGATAAAATTATTTTCCTTAAAATCGTATTTGAATGTGAATTATATAAATACAACTGTGGCGTAACGTTGGTTTTATAAAGTGTATAATATAATATTATAATTWAAAAAAAACCCCACAGTCTACTATTATATGCAGGTGGCTAACAACTCTTGACAAATCTCACACAACCGAGTATTTTATATTGTAGATGATTTTTTAAGTCGAACAGAATAACAATGTATAATGACATGGACTTTGACGTGGCCGCCAACGACATTTCCGAGCAGGTGGTTGTAATACGCGATCCCGAGTTGGCAATGACAATAGAAAAATGGGTGTTAAAGCTGACTGCGGAGAACCGGGGTGCAAATGAGCTTAAGTACCTACAACTGTTGCAGTACATGATGGCCCGCGGGCGGATCAACGGACCATTCGTGAGAGATCCACCGCCGGGTCCCCTGGTGCCGTTAAGTCGATACGTAAATCCCCCTCCTTGCAGTGGTCACGGCCGGGGTAGTGGTGGAGTCGAGTGTTGGCAGACGAGCAACTGTAGCAGGGCCGCGCAGACGAGGTGCGACGAAATGGACGTTGACTATGAGGAAGARGAATTTGGAGAGCAGACCGACAACGAAGCCAACAACAACGAAACAACAGAAAACGGCGACAAGATCTGCGATGAMCAAGACGTCGTTGAAGATTTGCATCATAGTAACGACGGGGAACTTCAAGCGCCGCCCTTGCAGGAAGAGATTGCAGGTGAAAACGACGGGGTGCAGGAAAAACGTGATGGTCATTTGGCGGGTGGCGGTGGCGGAGAGGAGTGCCGTGGCGGCGAGAAGGGCRCCTCAAAGAAAAACCCATTCGCCAAACTGTGCAACYCCTGTTTGGATAATTTTGGTCGGCATTTGCTAAAAAGACAACCAGGACCGATGGACGCAGCTTACAGGGACTTACTAGGAGACTGCGCGCTGCCTGTTCTCAGTGACGCTGAAAAGAAGACTGTCTGTCCGGAGCTGTTGCAGATTTTGGAGAACGTTAACGACACCACAACGTTACAAGACTTTTACTTCCAGGTAGGTGGATATACGTCTTATACGTGATGAGTTTAGGATACCTGCAGGTGGACAACTTTTCAAAACATGTCATTTATTATTGTAATCATAATAGTCAATAACTAAGATAAATAAAACCCGTGACCTTCAGGAGACGATGTTTATATTATATTATCAGCCATATTGTATACTTCCTGTGTCCTCTGATTCCTATAATGGTTTTAGACGTTTTGTTGGATGTAAAAACACAATAATAATACAACACGATCGTGAATATCGATTGACCTAAATTTCAGTTCCTAGAAGGATAACAAATTGTTAATATACTCAGCAGAGCGTTAAATCCTCTAAAGTGTGCWCAGGATTTTTTTTCTAAAATAAATTAAAAATATTGTGCATCGTTTATTTTTTACTAAATATGACTATCCTTGTTGACTATGTGGCTTGATGGTTCATTAATGAAGCYCACGTGCATCATTTTCATTTCATGCAATGTTTTATTTCGCTGTCGACTGTTGAATCTCATCTCGGTTCATAGTATATGAACCTACCCTTTTTCAAACATTATCCTATAGAGCAATGAACACTATTAATTTACTACTATTGTCATTATTGTTATATATGCAAATGTTTATTTATTCTGCCATTCGTTACATTTTCATGTTACATTGTAACAGTATATTTTAACTTCAAAAAGAAGTAAGTTTGCTTTTAATTTGTATAATACGTATGTACTATGTAGCCATGTAGGTACGTATAATATTATGATAATGAATACTGTGAAATCTGTATTGTTTTTACGTATAAGTGGCCTTTTCATATGTGCGCTGATGTAATATCAACAATATGCTGTAATAACAGCTATGACATAATTAACAACAGTATTATCTTCAGTTACATATTCTTGCATATTTTAATTAGGTATAAGATACAATAAAAGGTCACTCAAGAGAAGAAAGTATTTATTTAATTTTATTTAATTTTATTTAATTTATTTAGTTTTGCAATATTAGCCCTTTCAAACCCGCTACTGCAGGTACTAACCATATTAMATTTTAATAATAATATTTTAATAAAACGAAATAAAATAATCAATATATAAAATTAAAATTAAACAATACGTTAATACTATTAAATGATGCAATTACTTACGATATTTTTAAGACAATAATTATTAGTGACCCGTGTTGAAAACGGAACTTTACTGGGATCAAGTATGGTAAATCTAATATGCAAAATTTGTAATTTCTTCTTTGATGTGMTTTTTTTCAAATTTGTATATTTATATTTTTGTATACTAAACACAATGATGAAATCAGGAGTCAATATTCAGCTTTTGCTTTAAACCTAAAGCATTTTCAACTTTCAAGTTAGTATAGCATTAGTCTATACTTCGTATAGAGCAAAATATTGCAGCTTAATTTATTACTAAAAATTGTTTTGTTTATTATAACGTTCTGAACCTTCATAAAAAAAAATCACAGTTACAAAAATAGATGATCGTATACTATATTTTAAATTTTGGAACTTCAGGTWTATTCAGAAATTTACGATTGTAAATTTTTCTTATATTTTTCCATATTATATTCCGAAGCTGTAGAATTAGAATACACTTTACGATGAAAGTTAGCTTTTTATAATTTTTATTTATTGGTATTCAAATTTCAAACATCGTAATTAATTATCGAGGCTTATAAATATCAATTAACTATAGAGTATAACTCTATATAAATGACATTATATAATATTACCAAAATATCAACAATAAAATAAAATTATGAACCTCTGTAACACGGGTTTTTTTTTAAACAATGGAAATGGAACTATTTGAATTTCTATTGATAAAAAATAAATGGCTATGTATAACCCCATACATTTTCAGGGGACTTGGCCAATAATTTAATCCTCACGATGCGTACCTATATAATAATACACTGATTTTACGACGTATTGGTACAATATTTGGTGCATTATATTACATATATTAGTGTATTACCAGTTTAAACAAGAGATAATATTATGTTTATTCCCGTTTTTATTTTATAATAAAATTATTGATTTTTTTTAAGTAGAAAGTGTATTGTGTAACAATATAGATACATGTACACAAGTTATATCACATCATTTTTATCTTTCAATTCGTAAGACAGTTTAGAAATTAGAACATTGCAAAACATTAATAATTTTCCGTCGTCTTATAATGTTAAACGTTTGTAAAAATGAGTACTATAAATTTTTAGCTTTTATATTTTTAAAAATGTACTTACTTCGTTTATATGCCATTAAAAAAATTCTAAGTGACTCAAATCCCTTTTTTCCATCTTTTTTACTGTAAATTCAAATAATATATTTTTTTTTATAACGTAGATGCTTTTAAATTAAAACTTGAACTAGAGTAGTAAATTCTAGAGGTTTCAGGATTTTTAATTTAATCCATACTCATGATAATGGGCTCAAAGATACAGAAGCTATATATGATGAAATTAATAAAAATTAATGATACCTGTAATAGTTTGAATATTTTATATATATTTTAATTATCCGAGCTAAGGATAAGAAGTTACTTGATTAAATTTCTATGAAGTAAAAAAAAAAATGGTGGTTCTGAATTTGAAAAAGATCTTTTTAATGCRACTGCAGTATAATACTTATAAGACTTACTAAAAATATGGTAATTTATTTAATTACATATAAATATACTAAGAAAATCCAAAAMTTTGCCGAATTTAAATAAAAATGTATTATTGCAAAGGATATAAACGGGGTGAGCTTTGAGCATGCTTGGTGAATCATCAAACATCCTGCGCAGTACCTTATAATATTATKATGATATATTTTATACTACTAATTATTTACGATTATCGAACTGCGCAGGTGTCGCTTTGCACGTGCGACCAGGGCGCACTACTGATGAAGTTGTCGGACGGCATGGTGGATGACTTCAGGACGTTTGTGTCAGACGTGTTCGAGAGCCGCACGGAACACATCAGCGACGGTTTGGCCAAAGAGCAGATGGCACTGTGCGAAAAATACGCATACCTGTACGACAGGACGCTGAACCGGGCAACGGTGGCTCTGGACTTCCTGCGGGAAGCCATGCCAGTGTTCAGCTGGCACAAATACCAGGCGGAACCGGATGAGTTCTTGAAACGGACCATATTGCGGCGGGCGGCGGTCGTAGCCGCGTCATCCGGAGACGCAGCGGCGGCGTCGGCCACCGACGGTGACGGACGTCCATCGAACGCACCCGCTCCGGTTGCCGATGATGATATGGCCGTGGCGTCTGGTGGTGAAGACGACGGTGGCGCCCAGCAATCTGTCATAAAAAAACTATTGTACAGAATCAATTGGCTGCGAACCGAAGTGGCTCGGGTGGACTGCGAGGGACAGCGTCTATACGAACAGCACAGCGAACTAACAGTCAACCTGGCTGATCTCAACCGCCGTCTGTCCGACGCTCAGTGCCGATCGTCCAGCGACATTGAACGTCACAAAAATGAACTCACCGTGCTCCGACAACGATCGGCCGAGCAGACAGCGATCATCGATCGGCTCATGGAGACCATTCAGTTGACCATGCAGGACAAGCAGCCTTCGTCCGCTGGATGTTAGTAGTAGCTGTGACGCCACCGACCGACCGTCATGATTTATTTCAATGTCCGCCATACTTTTTACCAGCTATAAAAACCATTCACACGTCTCATCGATCTTTCTGCTGTATATAATAAAATATTTTATTAAGTGCGTTTTTATTTAAATAATTATATCTTTTAACGTTTATCATAAATCATAATTACAAATCCATTCGTCAAAATAACATTGGTCAAATACGAGTATTCTCGTATTGTTTTTATACCTATATTACCAACCTACAATAGTCCCATGCGTTTAGACTTCTTGGATCTGTAAAATAACAACAACTTCGTAAGAAATTTGAATAAAAGACTTGGGTTACAACTATTACAACAATCTAATAAATAATATTTAGAGTTGTAGTATAAGCCTGTACGCCACAGTAATAAATATATTTATATATATATATACGCCATAATATAATATGCATAATTAATAATATAAGAACTAAACATAATGTATTATGCATTTTAATATTTAATGCTTTACGAGTATATAAATTAACCAAATAAATCTGGTTAATCTGT